ACTTTTTAGACGGGGTCCATGGACTAGAACACAATAACAACCGACAACAACAGCCAACAACAACATCAACAAGGTTCCATCATGAATGTGAAGACTTCGAGACTCGTTCCAGTACTCAAGTTCCAGTACGAAGCTACCAAGTCCGATTTGAACAAGGTGGCGGGGCTCGAGTCTCTTAAGTGCCGGTGGCAATTCATGTTATTATTATTTTATATATTTTACTAGGGTGTTTCCCACAGACCATGTGTTTTGTTACGCTGCACAAGCAGCGCATTACTTTATCCCTTGCACTAATTGTTATCGGCCAATCAGCATACTCTCACCACCTCACATCCAATCAGCATACCCCACGTAACACTAACGTTACACAAACTTGTCTCATATACGCGAAAAAATGGTGCTGGATCATAGCAACATCCTCCTGGATAATGAACAAAATAACGATTAAAACACAACAACCGACAACAACCGACAACAACCGACAACAACCAACAACAGCCAACAACAACCAACAACAACCAATAACCAACAACAACCAACAACAACCGACAACAACCAACTACAACCAACAACAACCAACAACAACAACCAACAACCGACAACAACCTACAACAACAACCAACAACAACCAACAACAGCCAACAGCAACCAACAACAACCGACAACAACCGACAACAACCGACAACAACCAATAAAAACCAACACCAACCAATAACAACACCCAACAACCGACAACAACATCCAACAACCGACTACAACCGACAACAACAACCAACAACACCTGACAACAACCGACAACAACCAACAACAACCAACAACAACGCCCGACAACAACCAACAACAACCAACAATAACCAACAACAACCGACAACAACCGACAACAACATCCAAAAACCAACAACAACCGACAACAACCGACAACAACAACCAACAACAACCAACAACAGCCAACAACAACCAACAACAACCAACAACAACCAACAACAACCGACAACAACCGACAACAACCGACAACAACCGACAACAACCGACACTAACCAACACCAACACCCAACAACCGACAACAACACCCAACAACCGACAACAACCGACAACAACAGCCAACAACAACCAACAACACATGACAACAACCGACAACAACCAACAACAACCAACAACAACCAACAACAACACCCAACAACAACCAACAACAACCAACAATAACCAACAACAACCAACAACAAACGACAACAACCGACAACAACAGCCAACAACAACATCAACAACGACGACGATAACGACGACAACAACCAACAACAACATCAACAACGACGACGATAGCAACGACAACCCCAACAGTGTCCGGTAATGTGTGGTAGAGAATGGCAGTCAGCCAGACCAAGTACAGTTGAACATTTAAAATAATAATAATAATAATAACACATTTCGCGTAGTTGAGCACTAAATAAAGAAATTCAGTGTTTTTTTCCCACTTCTGTCTTGTGAGCATCATCAGCAAGGTGTAGTAGCTGCTGATACTGATTTGTCCTCGAGTGTCGAGCTGCACAGTTTCTTCCAGTCTGTCTTGTCCTCTGCATGTTGTTAGCACCTGGAAAGGTCTTCCATGGTCTTCATGGGCACACCCAGCTTATTCAACTTAGCGACCAGACTTGTGGCTAGTGTCAACCTTGGCCGCCCACGAGGTGCTTTGTTGTCCTTGTCCAAATAGCCGCTCATGGCTACTTAGGGTGGCGTGTCCGTGTCCATCTGTAGCACATGACTGGTCATTCGTAGTCGCCTACATGCAGCTGTGTCATGTATTACTACAAGAACTCAACCAAGTCCTCAGCAGTCATGGAGTAGCGGCAGGTTGGGCAAGTTGGGCTGGGGGCAGAACTGATCCACTCCTTCATACAGTGGAAGTGAAATTCATGACCGCACTCCAACTTGGATAGAGGACGGTCCAGGGTATCCTGACAAATCACACAAATGGGCTCATGACTTATTGCTAACGAGTCTACCTTAGTTGGCACTGCATTGATGTACTGCAGCTCCATGGGGTGTATTGCCTGGTCTTGATGGTGGCTACCGTAATACACCCCGTTGAGGTACCACTGATAGATACCTTCCTCCTCCTGAGAGATGAAAGCAGGTCCATCTTCCCTATGCCGAAGGTTGTATCGGTACCACTCCCGTACACGATTGTTACCTTCTCTACGTATCACCGCTGGCGCATTCTCCCTGTGGAGCATTCCGTGGTGATACCACCGTAGAATACAGCATGTGGCGTCACAATAACTGACTGCAGGACCGCCGGCTCTATGACGGACACCGTTGAGGTAGTACTCGATGCTACCCCGTCCTATCCAAGCCGGTTCATTAACGCGATGAAGGCGACCTCCATAGCACCAGGCGGACACTCCCCTACTATCAACAAGAGCTGGTCCGTCCTCCCGATGGAGTCTACCATCGACGTGCCAAATTTCTTGCTGCGCGTTTTGATCTGCCAACTCCACAACTGTTCTTATTGGCGTCCGCCTTTCTATTACTGACGTCTTCTTCATCCTGGTTTTTTCCTCTTGGTGGTTTTGGATAAGAGTTGAAAAGTCCAAAAGGTCAACTGATGACCCTTGCGTTACTTGGTATGATTGGATTTTAGCGGATGATGTCGGTATGCAGCTGGGGAGCGAATTCGACAGGAAGAAGGTAAAGGTCTTGCTTTGCGGTTCACACCTTCACTTCAGTATCATTATCCTGAAAACAGTCTGTAGAAATGACGTTCACGTGTCACTGCGGTGTTCGCCTTACAGGGGTAATACCCCTGTTTCAGCACCTGAGGCGGTGCGTCACGCGCCGCCTCTTTCTTATCATATATTGTAATACTTGGTAAGTGTGCAGTGCTCCTAGCTCTCTCCCCCAACAAAAGAGCTCTATGACACTCTGCTTTCTGCGGTTTCTTTCGTGTTTACAGTGGAGAAAGGCTGGTGGGAGGCCCAGCCGTGGTCGCCCACCTCACGGGTACGGCCCATCTAACCCGTTACTAGGAGGGCCGGCAGGTCGGGCTGCTGTTGCAGTCCGACTACCGGGACGCCGTGGAGCGTATTAGGACCCTGTAAGTAAGCACTGCTCTGTTTACATGTATACTTACCCCCTCGTTATAGCGATATTTACTTGTTCCGTATCCTCTTGTCTTACCCTATTTCCGTATTCGTGACACTAATAGTGTTTGTGTGCGCTCATGCTTGATTTCACAGATGATGATGTATGAAGGTCTGGAGCTGCCGTCTTCGGGATGTGCCATTTGTTTCAAAATTATTTGTAAGTACTTGTAACAGGCGTAGTGTAGTAACTGTGTGTGCAGTGTAGTAACAGTGTGTATTGTTTTGTGATGGTCCTGTGCTATAGCAGTCGTAATGTGTTTTGTGATGGTCCTGAGCGGTCGTAATGTGTTGGGCTACTGAAGTACACTGCATGAAGGGGTATGTGTGGGTGCTTCGACACATTCTCGTGCTTCCTAAACCCTAGATATGTGTACAGCACTATAACCTAGATGTGTGTGCGCGCGTGTGTGTGTGTGTGTGGGTGTGTGTCCGCGCATGCGTGCGTGTGCGTGCATTGTGTTCTCTTCTACAGACTCATCCAAGTCCATTTAATTAAAAGTGCATTATAGTAAACAGTATTGTGTTTTGTTACAGTGAATATGTGGGGAATGGTGGATATGCCTTAGTGTGACTGGATACCTGCGGGTTGTGACTCTTTGCTGGTCACTCTGGATTCTCCAGTATAGATTCGGTGCAGTGCAGAGGGGATTTGCGGTGCGTAGCAACACTGCTTCACTGTGACACCCCTTCAATAATTGTTTTGATGCATGATACTCCGGGCGTAGCCGGTTGATTCTAACTGTATCCCGATCAAAATAGAAATATGCATCTAATGGGCCTGCATGGACAGTAGGCATTTCCCTAATCGGCCGGGCGAAAAATTCGCCGAAAACAGTGGTTTTGAAAAAATTACCCATCTTTTCGCCGAATTTTCAAAAATTCACATGTTGAATTCGCCGAAAACCGATGCTTCAGTGCTTCAACAGGGTGTATGTAAATGTACATGACGTAATGGGAACGGTGACTTCAAGTACTATATTGAGCCGAATTCTGATCTTGGAGCTCATAATATGGCTGAATTTGAACATTCTCGATCGAAAAGCCGATTAGGCATGCTCTGTATGGGCAACTTGTCAGTGCACATCTACGATGTGCGAATAAAACGAGTGCATGGCACGTGAACTAACTTGTTTGCTGCACATCTACGAAGTGCGAATCAGGGAGTAGTATAATGACACGTGTACTAGTACACCTTGTGTTGCACTGCGTCTTTCCCGCAAGCAGGGTCTCTGAAGGTCACACGCTCCGCGTGCGTATGCACGCATGTGCAATATGTCACTGCATCCAATGCACATCTACGATGTGCAAATCAGGGAATAGTAGGATCTACGTATTTTACTACTCCCCGGTGCGAATGCACCGAACGTGCACAAGTGCACGTTCGCCACGGAAAAGAACCTTTATGGCACATGTATGGCATGCCAGGGGTCAAAGGTAAAACTCTGGGGGGTCCCGGGGCCAGACCAAGCACGACCGACACAGTGTGCCTTATTTGGCCCAAAGGTCAAAGGTCAAAAAGTGTACCAGAACCCGCCCCGCACTTACTACTTCTAACCTGGGTACATGAACCAAATTAAATTTCATCAGACCATTTTTTTCCTTTTACTCCCTTTTACGTAACGTTTACATCTCTGGTTCAATCTCATTCTGGCAAATGGTGGCCAACACTCGTATAAAATCACACGCTCTAGCTAGCTGCACAAAGGTCTGTCACGTGTTGCAACTTTAATTTACACGTCACCGTGCATGCATTCTGTATTTGGAGTCTTCAAACCATTGTTCTACTCCAGGCTCTGAATTACTGGTATGTGAAAATTATCAGTGTGGACAAATGTGCCACACATTACGGAATATGCCATATCATGAACTCACAAGTGAGGCAACCTCGGATGACAGATGAGCCATAGTGGAGTTGACGTTTTTAAGGACTCGCTTCTCCAGGTGTTGAAGAAACGTATACGTACGATTGGTATCGTCTTGTCTTCCAGTTTGCAGTTCATGTCTCAGTTGTTGAACATCTTCACTGACTTGATGCAATGTGTTGGATTGCTGTTTAAACTTAGCTACGTCCAACCACTCTGGACAGTACACATAAAAGTAATGATTTGGTCATGCAATGTGTGGTCACATGTTACACCATTCACATCTTTTGAATCATGACATATCTTCGTGAAAATGAGGCAACAACGTAGTGAATGGGCAACGGTCCTCAACATTTGGTCTATACCTTCATGAGTGACACTGATACATGAAATTTCCAGAAGTTCGTGAGGTGTTTATTCGCCTGGAAACAAATTGTCACCGTTTTTGGTTTTGCTAGTGATGTATTGGTCTATTTTATTTATTTATTTATTTTATTCACAATCACGTGGCACTAGCCAAGGAAAAGGTGATGTGGGCGATAGCCAGCCATGGCGGTAATAGAGCAAGAGGTGAAAAAGAAAAAGAATGAAAGGGGAACTGAAAAGTAAGAGAGGCGCGGGGAGCTAGGGCAGGGCTGGATATCAACTAGTATGTTCCATTCTGCAGTAGCTGTGTGAAATTATGTGAATGTATTGTAACATTGGTTTGGAGAGGACTACACATTTGCAATGCGATTGGAGCAGAGTTACCAATAACTGAGTCAAGGCAGGCATAGTGGAATGGTCTAAGACCATGACTGAGAAACAGAGGGTAGACTACCAGGTTCTAGTGCTGCTTGGGAGCGGAAGGATGTTTCAAACCCACAGTTAATTAGGAACTCGTGGCTTGGCACGAGGGAAGCATGGATGCATCGAATGGGACTTTTCTGTCTTCGACCACTTTGGTCAGTCTGATCTTGTCAACTCCCACTGCTTTAGGATCTGCACCTGTGCTATGATCTTTGCGGGTGGTGACGCTCCTACGGATTGGGAAAACTCGCCCTTCAACCGAGTCTCACGCGAACCGCGAAATGTGTTTAGTCAACGCAAGCTCAACTAATGAGGTGTGAATTCTCCGAAACACTGTGTATTGACCAGGGAGAAGTGCTTTCTTTCAGGTTTGTCGTGTGTAAGGTTCGATTGACTTCTTGTGTGCTCTGCATGGCAGGCAGTGGTTCGCCAGTCAAGTGTGAATTAAAGTCGGCAGGAAAAGTAGAGCTCCCAAGATAGTAAAACCAAAACGCGCATGAAAGAAAAGAGATGCAGGGCTGAAATTCTTCGCTCCCAAACATGCTCCTAATGTAATTTCCCTCAATAAATTGTGTGCACTTACTTTCCTCACAACGTTTTCCAGTATACAGTGGTGGACAGTGACAATGAAATGATGATCCTCTCTGTTGACATGTTGCACCGTTCTGACATGGATTACCAGAACAGGTTGGCAGTACTGGAAGGTAGAGATGGCAAACAAAGGAAGAATTTGATGGAAGTAGCACAAACTATTTTCCTTTATTTAAGGTATAAGATATTCAGATCGCACTCAGATAGAAATTAGACAATTTCGGTACTCCTATCAAAGCTCTTCCTATTACCACTTTAGGAGCTAAACCTGCGCCTTGATCCATAGAAGAATGTGCAGTTCCTGCGGATGCGGAAAACTCGACCTCCAGCTGAGTTCCACGCGTACCGTGAAATTTGTTCTTTTTTGATCAAAATTTCTTTGATTGTGTGCTCAAAATTTTAAGAACCAATAAACAGATTGGAAGGGTGACAATCCTTTCCTTCTACTCACAGTGACAAGTACCGAGTAAAGACTCAAGTGCACCAAAGTCAAGCGCCACATAGAGACTTTGGAACAAACGCAAGACTTCAAGTTATTCTTGTGCTGCACCCCCCCCCCCCCAATCACCACCCGTTACACGCAAAACTGATGTTCTGTGACTACACCATACACTACACACTCAATATATTCCAAAATTTCAACTCAGAGGGCATGCTCAGGGTTAGAGATATGGTCTAGAAATTCACATCGGTACATGTACCTCTAATAAATGATTGATGATTACCTATCTGACAAAACGTTCCTGTATGTCCATCGTCGCAGTGGCAAATGTACGCTCCACTCCCTTGTGGAGAATGTGTGAAAGCGCACTTTCCAGCATCGCTACATGGGTGGCTTTTGCGACGGCATTGCTCAAGCTGACCGCCTGTATAATGCAAGAGTCAACACAACCGTGTCCATATTAAGTGAAGAACGGTAATCTTAAACGAAATACGTAGATTTTGATTGCCTTTAAAATAGTCACAATTTGATGACTTCGAGTAGGACCATCATACCAAGCTTCAAAGAATGATATTTAACTGTCAATGTGCGTATGCAATAAATGCACAGCAGTGTCTCTGCAGAAGTACTAGTTTTCAAGTACCAGAGCAGGGGCTGAGCGACAGCACGCAGGCAATCTAAAAACCAGCTACGAAGTGTTCATTATGGTACTAAGAGCTTCATGAAATAGAGATACTCACATCGTTATCTCCCCATCCGTAGAACGCAACAACCCGCAAAGATGAATGTTTGATTGTGCACTAATAGAACGTTGCCTGTTCCAAGAATAATCCTTCAATTCATATCATGACATGTGGAGTTGACTTACGAAGACACTGTTGCAGAAAATCAGAATTCTGTCGTCCACCTAACAGAGCAGAAAGTGAATCTGTGTGAAGACTGCCGGAGTGGACCTGACGTGGACCAATTAGCAGAGTCTCTGTGTCCTGGATGCTGAGACGGAGAGCGGTTGATGGTAGAAGGCGAAGAACTCGTGCCATACACGACCCAGCATCAGCTAACTGGGCAAAGAAAAGAACAAAATGTAAGTTAAATAAAAGGTCTACTTGCGTTTAGTCAAAACCTTGTAGTGCATCCTACTCAGTGAAGCAAAGACACCTAGACCATACAGTAAGAGTTCACCAACTAGGTTTGTTTCAGATCATAATCTCTTTCAGCCAGTCAAAATGTGATAATTATGCTGTTGGCTGCAATAAAGAAAAAGACAATTTCAATGTACATGCAAGTGCTCCTACCTGTTTCATTTGCAGTGCTGGAATGGGTACCTGCAAGGACGCTCTTTGCGGCCGCACCACGAAACGAGGCGGCCAACAGCAACGCAAACCATGTAAATAACTGAGTAGTTAACGGCACTTTCATTTTCTGTGGATCAGCATTCAGCTCAGCAAATGCTTATAAAATGAAGCTAATCAGCTCAAGAATTGGAGGGTTTACAGGCGAATATAGTTTTGTTCACAACGAGGACAATATCGATCTCACGCAGATTCTGGGGAGGGAAATGATCTTGTACCCTCTCTTGCAGAAAACCCATCATAATGTAGAGTTTGGTGGTCGGATTCCGTTGGGCCTGGTTCTCAGCAACGCATGCCTGACCAGTATTGCACATGGATGCTCAATAATTCAAGTCATGGAGAGCATAGTCAACCTTAGCATCATGAACCATCTGGCGGAGCTGCTCTTCTTCGCTTTCCGCCATACGAGTCGTAGTCTTGTGGTAGTAGACCTGCTGAATCTTCTGAATGGCTGTGCACTATCATCAATAGCGGAGCAGTACTAATGGTAGCAGTAGACTCTGCCAGAGCTTTTGAAAATGTGTCACACTGTATCCTATTATCACGGTACAAAGTGGAGAGCATTGTCAACATTAACATCATGAACCATCTGGCGGTGCTGTTGATCTTCCTCGGTTTCGCCATACTAGTAGTCTTGTGATAGTAGACCTGCTGGATACTCTGAATGGCTGCACACTATCAGCAATAGCGGAGCAGTACAGTTAGTAGCAGTAGACCCATCCAGAGCTTTTGAAAATGTGTCGCACTGTTGCGTATCATAAAAAGTCAATGGCTACCTCATCAATGACCCTTGCATCCATGTCTAACTGTCCATATCTCTGCGAGCGTCAGCTGTAATCAGTTGTTTCCAACCAAGAGGCACAACAGGAGCCCACCCTGTGCCAGCAAGTGTGACCATGCGTAACATTCTCGGCCATACTCTCTTTTTGGTGCAGGAGGAAGCTTATGCTTTGCCAGAAGGACTGATCATGTGTACCCTTGCTGGTGAAATAACCCTTCACATGCCTCCATCATGCGACGATGCTGCTTTTTCTGCGATCAACTGCAGACCAGTGGTACGAACCTCGCTGCGGGGAGCAACTTGACCTTAAAATTTATTGATTATCTTTCTCCCCAGAACCTGCTATCCCATCTCTCTCATATACTCCCCCCCCCCCCCCAGCTCCGGAAGGATTGACGGCTCGTTAGTTGCTGAGACCATTGCTACAACGCTTTTCAAAGTCTCCATTGCAGCCAACTTCATGACCTCTAACACCCACAGCATATCCTCTTCGAGATTGCACCGTACATCGGGTTTCTCAGACACCTCCCTCCTCCAACACCCGATGACCCGACACCAGCAGGCTTCTAACTAATTACAAAAAGCGTCTGTCCATATTGTGATGGAATACTGATGCATGCTGGTCGGTTGATGCTCTCAGTCAGCCGTCTCGCCTCAGAGAGCTGCAAAGGTGAATGCTTGCCCTTATCAGCCTCAGTATCATCATCAACTAGCCTGGAACAGTGGTCCCTGCTTTCTATAGCTCATGTGTGGTCGCTGTGTCCCATCTGTGTTTTTGAATTATTTTATTCATATTTCTATAGGGCAGTCTCCACAAACTGAGGGTCTTTCACACCTACGTTCAATACCAGTGACAGGAACACGCAAAACAACGCATGAGCAAGTGACCGCTTATTAAATCATGTTCAATTGGGAATAAGCATTGCAGCCTTCTCGGACTAACACCAGTCGACTCACCGTCCAAAAAACAACAGCATATGGGCCAATCGCGTTCTTGTGTGCTTTTATGGGAACGAAATGGCGCTCTCAATGGTATTCTGCATACAAATCTCCATCTAGCAGGGCGCAATCACTCAGCGTGAGTGGAAGTGGCGAGTTTGATTGGGAATGAAGGAGGAAAGGAGTGTCTTAGACTCTTAGCTTCCCTGGACCGAGACCATTCACCGCAGCACACCAGCAAACACTTAGTGCATGTCTGTAGTGATAGTATGTGAAAAAAACATAAATGTTTGGTATGGCATCACAATACAGAATCAAATGGGGATTCGAACTCTCCAGCGAAACGCTCTCGAGGTAGAAGCTGTACTAGTATTTGATGCTGGCTTGCGCAAAATATGCTAAAATGCCACTCAGTGGTGTGATCCATTGATTTTGATCAATTACCACAGAAAGCGTAGTGTTCGAAATGCTGAATTTGTTTCGCAATTTGCAATTACGAGCAACGTTGCGAAACGCCGTCTGCTATGCCTCTTGGGCGTGACCAGTGAGCAGCTAGCCATGGTTTCCCAATCGAAACTTTACCGAAGTATAGTTCCACGAACGACAGCCCACAGAATGCTTATTTCGTGGAATTACAAACCATTACAGAGTGACATAATCAGATAGAGTACTCCACTTCCAGGACAATGTGCGATGCCGTTCTACGGTAGAACTTTGAACTCAACCAGAAAAGGGAATGTATGAAGATATGTTGCAACCGCGAGTTTCGCGTTATGTAAGATTAAGTTGTCCGAGATTGGTAGTCTGAATTTGAGGAGGATCGAGGCAAGGAGCGGAAACAATAGTGCAGGCTATAAGACCATAGAACAGTGGACTGCGAGCCATTCAGTAGTGGTGCAATGGTCGTATACGTGCATGACATGAAATGCATCACTGAAAAGACTCTGACTGCCTCGTAATCTTTTCCTTGTTCACATGATGGTCATGTTACCTCACCAGCACAGACTATACATTTGCCTCCGCTGTTCTAGCAACGCATTAGATCTGTTACTAAACCACTCAATTTCTCTACAGTAGGCTCTATCTTGCCGTTGTGTATTTTAAGGAATAAACGTAGGAGCCATACATAATTCAAAGATATAGAGACACCATGAAACAGTTGTTAGCTACTATGCATGTCATAGACATTTTGGATAGTGTGACTACCCGTCACTTGAACTTCAGTTTTTGCTCGTGAGTCATTCTACAGTGTGTCTGGTTTAAGCAATTAGTGACGCAGAACAACATAGAAAACAGCTGGTAAAGTGTTTAGCCCTAGATGGTTAATGTGTAGGTGGCTAGTGAGAGAATGCGGGTGATTGTAGTAGACAGGAAAAGTACAGTATATTAGAAAGAGTGATTGTGTTCTCGTAACCACGATTGCTCGCTGATAAGAAGTTTAAAACGAAAGCGCTCCTAGGAGATCAATGTGTGGTATGGTGGCGAAGGAGCGGGTTATGAAGATGCGCGCAATGCCTTGAAATGGTCAACACTCCCTTAGTGCATGTGTGTAGTAATATTATGTTAAACAAAAGCATTGCTGGCTTTTTGGAAGCCGGTGATTAAGAATCGAATGGCAGGTTGAGTGTCCTGCAAAAGAAATGTATGGGTGGAAAAAGGCATCACATAATATCCAAGGATAGCCAAAAGCCATCACGAAAAGAGGAAACCAGTGAAAACGTTCAAAAAAGTGCAGAATTTTGCATTTTGATGCAAATGAGCACAGTGTGTGTAGTGAATCTAGTAGTGCATTGGGTTTTATCCACGCTTTCTTAGCTTCATTTCCACAAACTTCAAACTCTTGTCATAGTACACTACACCAGTTGAGTCTCCATCACTCCGTCCATACAATCCATTGATATTGACATAGTGACACGCGTTATACCACCAACCACCCTTGTATGTATTAGAACAGTCACTACTGTGTGAGTCATGGTCGCGGTCTCGAGTACTGAATTGTTGTCCATTGTGGTAATTCATTCTGTCCCCCAAGGTAGGGCCTGAGAATCCTGAAACATGTAGTCTGTAATTGTTAGCTTCACCTTCAACACGGAATGTTGACCACTTGGCATAATGCTTCTCTCCAGTTGTCTTGAACACCATGTCAAAACGCAGTTCATAAGTACTACCAGCTTGTGACGTCAGATAGTGTAGTGTATCTAGACCCAGCCAGAACTCTCCAGACGCTGATCCGAATCCTCGTTTGTATGCATTCCAGTCACGGTAAAAGTCCACTGAGCCATCTTGTCTTCTCTGAAACACAATCCAGCCACCTCCATCAGTCTCTCGGTCACAGTATGCAGTGAATGTCGTAGTCGTTGTTGTACCAGTGAACAATCCTGATTGCCCGTGGTTAATTCGTTCACATGACGCATGTGCTGCAGGATAAACACAGCGGAAGGATGTTAGCGACGTTAATAAGGCGGTGTTTACATGAGGCGTTTCAACCCGGGTTGAGTTCGACCCGGGTCAGATTTCAACCCGCCATGTGCACAAAATGAATGGCGCGTTTACATGACGCATTGCGCTTGACCCGGGTTGAAATTTCGCCCCCCTCCCACCCGGGAGGGTTGAAATCAGCCCGGGTCAAGAAAATCGTACAAACGTAGCTCTGTGCGTATCTCGCGCCAGGTTTGAACAGCACTGCACATGCAAATTTCGCGGGAACGGATTCACGTGACCATACAGGATTCTAGAAGTGGACTTTTGGCGGCATATCAGTATTTGACCCGGATCAACTGTCTTCATGTAAACGCTCACCTCTTTTGTCTATCGTACAGACTTTCAACCCGGGCTGAACTCGCCCCGGGTTGAAATTTCTCATGTAAACACAGCCTAAGTCTAAAAATAACAACAACCGGTATACATGTATCAGAGCTTTATACCTCATTCCATATTTACCCACATACAATTGGCTATCTACATAAGTGGTGAATACACAACAGAACAACAAGGACAATCAAGGCTTGTTTTCTGCTACTTTAAGTTTCATGCTCACGCAATCATCAGGCAACATCCATTGTTGACGGATGTTGCCTGATGATTGCGTGAGCATGAAACTTAAAGTAGCAGCAAACAAGCCTTGATTGTCCTTGTTATTCTGTTGTGTATTACGCTCTGCCTTTGTGGTGTTGAGCACTGTCAGCACTCTGGGTCACATCCTTCGGTAAGTGGTGAATATTGCGGAATACTCACCGCTTACATTCACCACATTTCTATACTTACTGTAAGTGTAAAGAGAGCAGTACTCGGAGCTGTGCTTGATTCCTCTTCAGTCAGCGCACCGGAGCTGCCGAGTGCCCTAGAAAATTTCTACGCTAACCTCCGTAAACAGGACTTTTCTGAGTACAAACGAAATTCCTTGCTTGCCATTGCCGCTGGATCCACATGTGACCAGGTGCTGACAAGTCATCAACCAACAGTGAGCATCTTCACAGCAAGCAAACAAGGTTTTGGACGCTCA